GGCTGATATGTAGAAGTGACAACAGAGAGAAGCCCTCGTGCCCTGGTGGGCCAAATGAGGACGCTGCCCCTTCTGGGCCTCAGGGACGGGGGATGAGGGCTTCCTTGGCACTCTAGTACTCTCTGCCCCCCGGACCACTTAGCCGACCCCCTCCCAGGCAGCTGCATGACGGGGCTGGGGCCGAGACCCAGCCTCCACCTTCAGCCACTGTGCTGCTTCCACAGAGTGGAGCCTCTTGGCCTGGGTCATGGACACTGCAGGGGAAGGGGCTGGGTTTCCTGAGTTTGAGGTACTTCATGCTAGGTGAGGGTAGCAGGAGGAAGGGCTGGGTATATCCTTGGCCGAGGTGGGGCAACAGGAGCTGAGGGCCATAAGGGTGAGGGGCAGCCCAGCTGACATGTTCACTTGAACCCTCTTCACACGCAGAGGAATGGGAGGCAGGTTGGGTGATGCTTCACCACGCTGATGTGCTGTGTCCTGGGCTAGTCCCTCTTTCTGGGCTTCCAGCTCCTATGTGCCCTGACTCCCTTTAACTCTAGGGAGACCTGGAACAGGGCTCGGGCTCATGTGTGTGTTCTGCCCTGCCCTGCCTTCACATCTCACCCTTATTTCTTCTGTGTTGGGGTTGATGCCAGGGAAGGCTTCTCAGAGGGCTTGGAGGGGAGCCTCTGGAGAGAGGTTGTGCAAAGGCCCAGAGGGAGGACAATTACTGCATTGTTTGGGGGAGCCGGGCTGGTGGTACTTTGCCCAGAGATGAGACCAGAGAGATAAGCTACTGGTGGCAGCTGGGATGGGTGGGTTGGTCAGTTCAGGCAGGTGCTAGGATACTTCCAGGACACCTCTTCACGAATCAGCCATTTGAGGCCCCAACCCCAGAAGGAGGATCAGGCCACACAGGAGAAAATCATAGGTTCTGGGTGCCAAAGACAGCTGGGCTGAACAGACACTGTTACATGATCACAGCTGGGTGGGGGCTGGGTGTCCTGGGTACCCAGGGAGGCAGCTGCCCAAAGTCAGATAGTCACTGGGTGCTGGGCTGTCGCTGGGGGTCTCCTGGCTCTGCTTCCCTCATCTCTCTGTCCTCCGTTCCTGTGTTGGCAGTTACATCGCAGAAGCCCCTGGGGCAGGAGGGGAGTGAGGCAGGCAGGCAAATAAGTGTCCTGGAGAAGGACTCGTGGGGCTTGAAGGAGGAGTAGGGATTTACAGGAGAGAGAGGAAAGGATGTCGTAGGCCAAAGAAGCTCGTGTTGGGGAAGCAGTCTCAGCTGGGGAGGATTCTGGAGGGTGGGATCCAGGAGGGGGAGGGCGGGGGATATACGCCACCCCATTAGAGTTTCCTGACCTGTTCTGGGAAGTGGCCATCTTGGGGCCACAGGTGAGGCTGGAAGGTCACGCCTGGGCAGGAAAGCTAGATATGTGCACCGGAGAGAATAGAGGCCCAGAGAGGCTGAAGAACTGCCCAGGGTCACATAGTGAGATAGTAGTGGCCAGGGCTGGCCTTTGATAGGCCAGGGGCTGGCTGATGGGGAGGCAGGAGGCTGAGTGGGCTGTCCTCATGGCTCTGTCCCCACAGGACATTGACAGAACTTCTGAAGCAGCCAGGACCCCAGGAACCACTGCCTCCACCTCTGGGCCCACCCCTGGGTAGCTGTGTCCAGGTGCAGATGGGGGATGGCCTCCCACAGGGGTCCCCCCACAACAGCACAGGTGAGTAGGCTGGTGGCAGGCATTCGCTGACCCACAGCAGTGCATGGAAGGGGTGTGCTGAGGGCCCTGAGCTGCTGCCTCTGTGTGTGAGGGGGGACTGGACAAGCCAGTCAGCTCCCCTGGGTGGAGAGGGATGCTCCCATGGGTCGAGTCGCAGGAACTGTGATTGGTAAGGAAGGTTCCAGAGTCAGGATTCACTGGCTAGGACTGTGGTCCGAGGCTCCGGCTCAGTGCGCTGGGCTCTGAAGCCCCCCTTCTGGTCTCGCCACAGGGAGGCAGCACTTGGCAGCCTCCCACTGCCCCGTCTGGGTTCTGCTCCTCTGACATTCCCCTGGCTCCGCGGGAGCAGGCCCGGGACTCAGAGCCTGGCTCGAGCCTGCCCCACCGGCGAGCCGTTCACTAGGTTAGCACCCTCGAGGCGGCTGCCGTCGTGCGTGGCATTCGCCGCCAGCGCTGTTCCAGGCGCTGGAGACGGTGCCGTCGAGACAGGCCTGCTCTCGGTCGCGCCCAGAGGGATCCCCAACTCATCGAACGGCCGTGGGGGACAGGGCTGCGGAGGCGCAGGTGGAGTGACCCGGGCCAGCGGG